TCTTGAAAGTTTCAAGACTTAATCAAGAATAAAACCTAAAGTCCTTCACTAGCACACGACTTGAGGTTTATAAACTATCGTGTTGAAATTTTTTGTGCCTATTCAAGTTGGCTTTGCATAGGAGTTCTGAGAGTTCTCAATTGGTTGCACAACTACTTGGAAGCAATGGCAGGCACCTGAGCTGCCAAATGGCAAGAATTTAAGATTGCACAAGTTTAATCAATATGAGTTTGGATTTGTCACTAACCTTGTCTTGTGATTATGGTTTTGACAAATTCACATGGATAAGAACACATACACTATTAAATCTAAGTGTCATAAGGTTTCTCTCCGATTCATGAAAATGATGGTGAGGAAACACTTTCACTAAGTAGATTTTAGCTAGATAGCAATTGTGATATTTGCATTCTCAAAGTCGTTAGTGGAGCGTGTGTGGTTTACCGGCACACTAACATGGACTTGTGAGAAGTGGCAAAGGTCTAAACAATTGAGACTATGATTACGGCATCCCTTTTCATAGTTCTAAAATTGTTTAGACACACATGTGAGCTATCTAAGAGAGGTGTATGATTTTGATAAAGTTTTATGAAAACCATCTAGTATCAGAAATCTGAACTTTGGTAAGAAAGTCAGCTGATTTCTGAGTACATGTCAAAGCTAGTGGGAGCATAAGTGTTATGCTAATAATCATCATGTTAGTGGGACCATGATAATTATGACAAAGGTTGCAAGTTAGCAATGTTAATTATAGAAAACAAAAGTTTCAATTCGTGAGGTTGCAGGGGTTGAAAAAGTTGTTTTGCTATAGTTAAGGGAGAGGAAATTATACTTCATTTCAATTCTAAAAAGCTTAGATTGAGATTTTAATCGTATTTAATCAAGGATATATATATGAATTTCATGTTGGAATGGCTCAACATAAGGAAATTCTATATATGGGTCCATTATTTGCGTTCTAAAATTCGATTATGATTACGGCATCCCTTTTCATAATCTGAATTTTGAGAACTTGGCAAATTGAAATGGAAATATTATAGCAAAAGACTGGTTTAGTCTTTATGTGAGACATCATGAATCGTGTCCCATATGCTTCGGATATAGGATCGATTACATGTGCTATATTCATCCTTTCTAAAATTTTCTAAATGCCTGAGGCATTATGAAGGGAAAAGGTCTAGAATTGGATATGACTAAAATGATTAAGCAATTGTCGAGGACAATCTAAGGTTTACCAAAGATTGGTTGCTCAAGGACAGTTGGAAGTATAATGTTAATTCTGGAAGGACCATATTGACATAATCTGTAAGGAGGCAACTCTTGTTCAGAAGTGATAGTCAAAATGGAATATGGAAATGTTTCAAAGTTAGAAATTATTCAATCTGTGTAAGATTAGGAAACTTAATGAAAGAAGGATGTTTCCAAGGAGCTGATCTCCTTTGGAATGCTCTGTAATGATTGTTGTCAAGTCTTTCTGACTTTGTGCATAATCATTAAGAGGATCAATGCATATAAGTTTAGAATCTAACAGATTTCAGTAAATGGCATGAATTTGGAATTCTTGCATTTGCAGTAAGGATTTGGGACTGTGAAAAGAGGATCATTGGAGTGATGTTCAATTGATCTATTTTACAAAGTAAAGATCATAGACAAACATAGTATGCATACTTGGTGTATGGCATGACTAGTGTTTAGAAAACATAGTGTAAATGCTTGGAGCATGGGACAACTATTGTTTTAAATTCAAGTATAAAGTTGATAAAACCGAAACAATGAATAATGAGTAATCAGTATGGTGATAAATAAAAGTGTTTATTTATATTCATAGGGTTTGATACCATATTTGATTCATTTATTCTTGTGTTTCACTTTGCATGTTTTGACTTCCAGAATAACTAATTCGCTCTTCCTGAATGATTAAGTTATTCAAACCATCCACAGTCGGTCATATGTTGGAAGTAGATATGAATCAAGACTGTCATGGGTTGGTTTGTAGAGGTCCAAGTTGGTGGACAAAGTGGTGCTACAACACTCATGAGTGCTCATAAGTTCTGAGTATTGGATTCAACCCGCGCTCATTTGAATCACTTCATGGATTTTATCACGAGTGATCATGAGATGATAATATCTTATATTCTTCAAACCTAGAGATATGAGTTGTTACTATGAGTTGGTTATACATTGATTGCACGAAAACGCATTGGTAACTCGATGTTATAAAACGTGCCTTTGTGTATGATTCAACAAGTAGTAGAACAAGCCATATGAGTCGAAGTTTATCCATTCCTTTTACCTTAGGGATAAAAGCGATATCTGTGGGCCCCTCGATGATTTAAAGATGATACATGTGAGTGCTTGGCCAGGCCAGGACTGATTTGATTTGTTCAATCAGTCAGTCATCATGAATCGGAAATCGGAAAACAACAAATGGACAGAGAGAATGATTGATAATCCATGTCTCAGTCCATATGATATCTAGAATGGAGGAATATATGATCCCTTATCTAATGGACAAGTCATTGACAAAGGTCAGAGTTCATCGACAAGGTCAGAGTTCGACAGAAGCTTTTGAGAGCTACGATTGCTGATCGGTTCCTGAAGTCATACGCAATAATAGTTTTAGACTTATCCAAGTGGGAGACTGTTGGATTAATGTCTAAGTCCATAAGTATAATTGGTAAGACTTGACCCGACCCGGCATGGTCCATTTGGGTTGCATGGCATCATGTATTTGGATAGACTATAATGAGAGAAATAACACTTAAGGTTGGTTAATATATTATAATTTCTAATATATTAATAAGGTTATTTAATTAGTATTGATCAAGAATTAATTTGGAATTAATTAAGTGATCAAAAGGAGACTAATTAAATATATGGGTTGATTGTGTAAATCATTCATTCTTATATATGTGGGCTTGTGATCCAAGATTCCTTATGTTGGACTAAGTCCATGGGGTAACCCATGGAGGTTAAAATCCATGGAGCATAAGGAATGGGTAAAGTTATGAGTTACATGGTGTAACCCTAATAGCCACCATATAAAAGAATCCCATGGCTCAAGAAATCGTGCACTAATGTGTGAGTGTGAGGGCTAGACGATTTCAAGGAGTGTTCAAGTTTCTCTCAAGTTATTCCAAGTGTATTTGGTGTTGTGTGAACCATTTGAGGTGTCACACTTGGGGCACTAGGCACTCAAGCTTCATGAATACATTCTACATCAAAGAGGTATGTATTCTATCTTGTTATATTTATTATTTTATATGCTAGATTAGGATAATACCTTGGATGTTCATAATTGTATGTATAATAGAGAAAACATAGATCCAAGGTATTTAGGGTTGCATGTACACTTAGGAGTGTTAGAATGCTCATAACCCAACACGAAGTCCATAACACATGCGCGTAGGATGTCCTCGAGCGTCTGAATCGTCCGCTCGCTCTGCCCATCGGTTTGTGGGTGGTAAGCGGTGTTGAAGGCTGTAACATGCCATGAGGACGCTGGTGCTCTGCCTTGACCTGGCGACATGTCAAGCATCTCTCGACTACCCATGTTACACCTTTCTTCATACAGGACCACCAATAATCCCTTCTCAAGTCCAAATACATCTTAGTGGCCCCAGGGTGAATTGAAAACCTCGACTTATGGGCCTCCTCCATCAAAGTATGTCGAGCTCCACCCGCATATGGCACCCATATCCGCCCATGATAGGTCATAAGCCCAAAAATATCAGTCTCAAACTCTGAAATCTGCCCGATCACCCGCTCTCTCTTACGGTTCTCTGGTCTCATGGCCACTGCTTGTGCCTCTCGGATGGTATCTAAGACTGGAGTTATCATCGTCATTCTCATGCACACGTCTCAGATCGGAGCACTCGCTGCTCTACGAATCAAGGCATCGACTACCACATTAGCCTTGCCAAGATGATACAAAATCTCACAGTCATAGTCTTTCACTACATCCAACCACCTCCTCTCTCTCATATTCAGGTTGGGCTGATCCATAAGGTACTTTAGGCTCTTATGGTTCATGTATATCGTACATCGGACACCAAAGGTTTTTAACTTCAATGTAGGCCTTCTGCATCCAGATTTGGACTTCAATGTACCATTTGAGTTGATCAACAAACTCATTCTTGATTTCTTCTGAAGCATTGGTCTTGTTCGTTTCGGAGATGAATCTCTAAAAAATAGCGGTAGGAACCAGATTCTTGACTCTAACTCTGAAAAACTTCTTCTTGCTTAGGTTTTTTCTTCATGTAAACAAATCGGAGCTTAGGATCTCTGATAGGGCCTTCATCGAGCATATCAATTCCTTCAAGATCAACATTGACATGAGAGAGAATCTTGGCAGTTCTCAACAGGTGATTAAACTCCATATTAGATCTTTTGAACTCAGCAATGTAGTATTTCAACTAGTTGATAGCTGGGGTGTGTGCTCCTGTGCTGAATTCAAAGGTTTGATAATATTTCAATTGAGCTTGAATAACTAGAATGTCATCCATATTTATCGAACAAAAATCGACATCCGAGATCTTGATTTCTTCTTGATTGTTCCCGAAGATGTAGTAGTAGTAGAAAATACAGTCGAGATCAAATTTTTCAAGAATCTTCATTCCAAAACTAGTAAACATGGTAATTATGTACTTGGACCAAGTTTTATCTTGAGGAAGGGCGTTTGTAGCATAGAATGTGCTTAGTCTTTCTCACTCAGATGGGATGAGAGTTTCTTTGTTGTCAGAGGGGTGAAAAGGGGAAAACTTGACATAGAACTTGTCATGAGGGGAGATGGGAAGATCCAGTTTCTCGAAGTCGTTTCTTAGAAGAAAATAGCTTTTAAATGGAATAAAGTGATCATCACATATCGTTCCTTGAGGAGAATAAGGAGAGATGCCTGAGATGGGATTCAGATTGTTCTCCAGAGCATGAATTCTAAGGCTCTCTTACCTTGATCTGTCAATTTGCTCTAAACATCAGCCTTCTTTCCTTTTTAACGGCCTTACTTAGTTGATTCTTCCAAAAAGGATTGTCTTGCCTTTGTCTTTCAAAGGGGCGTTTGGAGTGGTAGTAGAAGAAATGATTTGTTGTCCGATTGGAGTGATGAAAACTTCCAAGAATGGAGGAATCAGAGGCTGCTCGGGAAGGTCATCAGTTTTCTTCATTAAAGTGCCTTTATCAACATGCTCAATTCTTAGAGTAGGAATGGGAGGAGGAATTGACTGAGTAGCTATGAAAGCGTCAATTGTGATATTGGTCTTGGCCCTAGCTATTTCAGAACATTGTTTAAATATCTCAACCAACATGGATGGCCAAGTTAGCCATTTTAGCTTCACCTCTTCTGATATAGTTTTGATGATTGAAGGTTGTTCTTTAATAGCTCTGAGTCCTCGAATTGTATGAATCAGTAGGTCATTTTGATCAAACTCATTTTCTCTAACAATTTCTTCTTCAACTTTGTCAATTTCTTCATCCGATGTCTCATCTTAGAGTGCATACACTTGCCTTCTTAGTTGAAAATGGCTCGTGCTTGCTCCTTCTCCCCCTCTTGCAACCAGAGCACTGATGCAAGCTCTAGTTTCTCATCCTAGTCACCAATCTCCGAGAAGAGATTCTAAAAGCTAACATTGACAATCTTGGTGAGATTGTCATAGGCATTAACATTTGGAGCTTTTTTTTCCAAGGTAGTGAGAACATTGTCAAAAATTGCTAGTACTTCATCGAACATGTAATTCAGAATGTCCACAAAATTCTATGCGGACCAAATTACCTTGATTAAAACCTACTGCATTATCATGTACATCCCATATTTCTCTCAGATCTCCTTCTCCAATCTTTGAATTTTCATTTCATGATGGATGTGAGTTGGCTTGATGTGTTCATTAGTAGCAAAGATCATATAGTCATTAATCTTGAGCATTGTAGAGGTAGTGGAGATGTAATGGTCGAGATAGTCTTTGTATCTTTGCTCAGCTTGTTCCAAGTTATGCTTCAACTGAATTGAGATTAGTTGATCCAATTGATTTGCTTTGTCAAGTTTTGAGGGAGCAACCTACTTGATCTCAGAAAGAGATTTGATCACCAAATCTATTTTTGAGTCGAGTGCTCTGAGTTTTTTATTGACATTTCGATCTTGGAATCGATTTATCAACTTTGTCTTGTAGTTCCAAAAGAGCAATTGGATCAACAACTTGTTTATCATAGGATCTTGTGTCCGAGCTAGACCCTTTGGACTTCTCATCATCACCATTTTCATTATCATCGTTTCCATCACCCTGATTAACTTGAGTTTGATTATCTTGATCACCACCCTTATCCTTAATATTCAAGTCATCTGAGTAGGAGCATAATCCGAAGTAAGTTTGAACTTTGGAGGAGGATGGTATCAGAGAAGGAAATGAAATTTTCAAGGGAAGAGTAGCAACTAAGGTGGAATTATCTTCAAAAATCATTTCAACTTCTTCTTCAACAGCAGGACTGTTTCGAGGAGGTTGTGCTGATATGAAAGAGGAATCGGGCACATCTTCGCTCGGAGTCTTCTCAGCGGCATTTGTCAATGGATCATCAATGTTACTGGGAACAACATCGATTTGTGGTTTGGCTGATACAAGAAGAAGAGCATCAACTTTAGAATCAATGAGACACATCATTGTAAGTTTTCTGTGAAGTGTTGGATATCTTATTTCAAGAATTACAAACTCGATTTGATCTCTTGTCAGATTTGGATGCCTGAGTTGAGCCCTATGAAGTATTTATTCCAATCGTCATAATTAACACATGAGCATCCTTTATCCATGGTAGATGTCGACTCAGTTGAGGCTTCCGAGGTCGGAGGGACAACTCTTGGCTCAGAAATTATCTGTCACACCCCCAAACCAGACGGCGAAAACGTCCGGGGGTGGAGGACTTCATTTGTAGTATCACAACACATGCATCATAGTAATCAAAGTACAAACAACCATTGTATTTAAAAATTATAAGTATTTACATGTGTTCGATCATTGTATATTGAAACCAAAATAGTTATACAAAAGAAGAAGACAAGACATAAATAGCTCCATCTTCTCAAAAGCACGGGGAGTACCTGTATACTGGTTCCCTGATAATACAAGAAATTTGAAAAGAGAGTATCAACATAAAGTTGAGTGAGTGCATAAGTATTTATGTTTGAATGAATGTAATCTGTTTCCTGAATATGTAAATTGTTCCAGAAAATCCTATATTTTCTGTTGTATATGAAAAGTAGTTTTAATTACATAAAACCGTTCTGTTTGTAAACCAATGTTCTGTATTTGTATTCCTTTTTGTAAACTTGTATCTGAGAGTGTGTCTGGTTTCATCAACTGTTATTGTAAACTGTAAGGTAATACTGTAAATTGTATCTTGTAAACTAGTACTTTGAAAATGTACTTATGTCCAGTTAATTATACACTAAGGTATTGTTAATATCTTTTATATGAGTTATTATAACCATACTGACTAGATGGCCTGACCCAACGCTATGAATGCGTTGAAAGCTGTTGATAACAACTGTCACTTATAGGCGTGTATGTCTGACTGTAGCTAGCTGTATGAGTGCGGGGTTGTCAATCCCAATATAGATCTATACACACATTGTTTCGATCCCCGGCTGGAGATTCTGGTTATAATGTCAGGACTTTAACTATATTGTTTAAATGAATTAAACAACCTGTGTCAATTGACTCATAAAAATCATATAAACGTTACATGTATAATAGTTATCAAAACCCAATCATTCAGAAATAGATAATTGATAGTATGTTCTTGAATTAGTATTCTTATCATGTATCTGAAAGATGTATACCCTTGAATAGTTTTGAATAAAACGTTTGTTCTTGTAAAACAATGTACTTTAGTATACTTGAATCGTGAATTAATGTTTTGTGAATCATAAATTATACCTATTATAATTTATATGTACTTTTTGAATTGATACTGAGTATTCATGAATGCAACCCCTTGCTCAACATGTTACAAAGGGTAATTGAACTTAATGAACTAACTTTTATACTTGAATACATATACAAATATATATAAGTAAAATTTAAATTACACTCGAACAAATAACTGATACTTGTAATCCCACATCCAAACAAGGAAAAGGAACCAAAGTGAGTTATCAGTCCTAAGCCTTTTAAATCTTATTTATATAAATATATATATATATATATATATATACAAGTATTATTTCTTGGAGAAATATAAGTTTGTAAAAACATTTAAAAGAAGTTTAATAATTTGAAATACATTTTGGTGAATTGATGTCATTTTGATACAATCAATGAAAACCAATTGATTTGAACATAACTGAAATCTATTTTGATAAGATATTTGAAACCATTTGTTTATAACACAAAATCTTTGTATTAGACTTGTATTAATCTTTGTGTTAGACTTGTATTCATCCCCTTAAAACAGTAAAAACCCGAAGTGAGTGATTCGAGTGAAAGGTCGATATAGTATGCTAAGTGTCAAGTGAAGTCTTGAGCACAAACAGATCCTATTAAGGATATAATGACACATATATGGCTATAATTAGTGTATATAACAACCAATTATGATAGGAAACCACTTTAGGTACTAGGAAACACTTGAGTTGATGTGTTACAATCACATGTGATTGACTAAAAGGGGTTTACGGCCACACAAGGGTGTGTACGACCAAGGTGTGTAAGGCCAAGGTGTGTACGGCCAATGAAGTGTATGGACATTGGGTGTACGGTCATAGAGTGTAAGACCGTACACTCATGGAAGAAGTATGTAAAAAGGGTGATTTGATCCATGGGGAAACTAGTGGGTCTAATGTTCAACAAGAAGATGGGCAAAACACTCGATTTTGGACCCTTTTAGGGTGTGTACGGCCAACCTATGAAGGATTTACGGTCGTACTCCCTTCAAGATCATGAAGGGATGTTGAAACATGAAGAATTAAGGATTGGATCTATTAGTATTTCAAGTATAACAAGGTACATGAGGAATCACTTACCACTTTTGAAGATTAGATGAAGTGTTCTTGAGTTGTAGTTGAGAGAGAATGGAGGTTCTTGAGGTGAAAGTGTGAGAAAGTGTGAAAGAATGAGGGAAACCCTTATATATGGGTTTGGGTTCATAGCCACCTTGGGTGTACGACCGTACACTCATGTGTATGGCCGTAAACTCCTCTTGATGGAGTATTTGGCCCGAATGCAACCCGATCAACCCAAGTTAACTCATCCCTAAACCCAAACCTTGAATGTACTAGGCTTAGAACACTCAAACAGACTCTAAACAATGCTTAAAGATTGTATAAATGAGTCTGACTATGATTGAATTGAATGAATGTACAAGGTAGAAATTTCGGGTTGTCACATTATCCCCCTGTTATAGAGAATTTCGTCCCGAAATTAGAGTTTAAGCAATTAAGCAATTACAAATAACTAAGCAAAAAGGTGAGGATATTTCAGTTTCATTTGATCCTCGCGTTCCCAAGTGAATTCAGGTCCCCGCTTGGCATTCCATCGAACCTTCACTATAGGAATACGACTTTGCTTTGTTTGCTTGACCTCTCGTTCCATGATCTTTACTGGCTCTTCCACGAAGTTGAGGCTCTCGTCGATCTCGATTTCGTCGAGTAGGATTACAAGAGTCTCATCGGACAGACACTTTTCCAAGTTCGAGACGTGGAAAACAAGATGTATGTTACTTAGTTCTTGAGGTAGTCGGAGTTTGTAAGCTACTGGACTGATTCTAGCAAGAATCTCGAATGGTCCTATGTACCTTGGATTCAGCTTGTCACGCTTTCCAAAGCGCATCATGTCCTTCCAGGGTGAGACCTTCAACATGACGCGGTCACCAACCTGGAATTCCAAAGGTTTTCTTCTTTTGTCAGCGTAGCTTTTCTGTCTATCTCTGGAAGCTTTAAGTCGCTCCCGGATTTGTACGATTTTCTCTATAGTTTCGCGAATGATTTCCGGACCAGTGAGAGAACCGTCAGGAACTTGACTCCTAGCTAGCTGCGTGTCACCCACTTCAGCCCAACACAGAGGTGATCTGCACTTGCAGCCATAGCGAGCTTCGAAAGGAGCAACCTTTATGCTAGTGTGATAACTATTATTGTAAGAGAATTCCACAAGGGGTAAATGAGTATCCCCTGCCTTTCCAAAGTCTATCACGCAAGCTCGCAACATATCGTCTAGAGTTTGAATCGTCCTCTCACTTTGTCCGTCAGTTTGTGGGTGGTAGGTTGTACTCATGTCCAGCATAGTTCCCAAAGATTTTTGTAAAGACTTCCAGAAACGAGAAGTGA